GTCAGTCTCCACGCAGGCTCCGCCAGCCTGAAGATAACCACACCACTGCCATGCCCATGCTGGCGTGTGAAAGCAGTGTGGCCACGGTGCCACGGAATGTTCCACCACGTACGCTTGGGCGCTACGGTAGCAAAGATTCCTTGTGCCCATTTTATGTATTTGGAAAGGAGATCGTGTTTTCAGATCCAACGCGGAGAAGAAAGTAGAGGAATGACCTTGTCCTTTAGATGCCTCTTGACAGTGAGCGAGAAGAGCATTCTCGAATGACTCTCTGTGCTGAGCTGTGTCATGTGTGTTCTCGCGTGCCTTTGGGTCTGGGTTTCCTGTTCTGTAAAATAAATATTTACTTTTTGCACAAAGATCTTGCTACCCATTTGGGCTCTAAGACTTAACTTGTGTCAGGTCTCGGGAGGATGGAGAGTGGGCTGACGCCCTTGTTTTCCGCTGGCCTGGGACCAGCGGGCGGACCCGTGGGGGTTAGCCTTCCCGAGGTTTATTAGAAGAGTGGAGCCCAGAGGGTTTTCTGGACCTTCTCCCGCTCCTCATGGGCAGGGAGCAGCCTGCACTGCTCCCGTCTACGGGCAGGAGGGCCTCAGGAGAGTCTGGGCCAAACCCACCACTCCCCTCGTGCAGGGAAGGCTCCAGACACAAAGCTGAGGCCACAGGGTGTGGGGGGCCCCCCGCCAGCGCTCTGTAGAGCGGGGTGGGCGCGTGAGTAACCTGTGTTCTTAGCAAGTCCGCCTTCGATTTCTCCTCTGCCACACGAGGATGTCCGCTTCGGTGAGTCTGGGCCCATGAAGCACTGAGGGAAGAGCCCCGTGGTGCTGAACAGTGTGTCTGCGGTGTTAGTTGGACTGCGTCAGGGCCCCCCCATGCATGAAGAACACGGCTGCCTGAGGTCCTGTCCTGATCAGACCTGGAGAGCCTGAGGTACGTGCTGAGGACAGAAGCCTGCCATCTGCACAGGAGAAAAGAAGCCTTTCTTCCTCCTTGCTTTGTCGTAAACATGTGCTTATTCTTGGTACTGAGGAAGAGATGAGGAAGGAGAATGTGGAGTGAAGGACCGCTTTTTTTTTTTTTTTTTTTAATTGCTTTTCGGCTGTGGAATGGGTCCCACGACAGGAGTCCTGGAGGGGTGTGACCCGGGGACGGAGGTCCAACCCCTCTGTTTTGGTAACTCCCACTGCTGGTGTCAGGGCGCTATCCGTACACACAAAAGCAAGTTGCTATTTACCTTAAACACAGGAGTTTCTAGGAGAAGAGAGAACTCCAGTCTACATTCTTAACAGCCTACCAAAACATGCTGTCTGCAGTGTTTGCTTGTTCAGATGAGGTTCCTTCTGCCAGAGATATGAGGAAGCGTGACTTGTTTATGCCCAGACAGGCTCTGTGTATCCAGCTCCTACCACAGGACCTTGGCACAGGAGGTAACCCCAAAGCATCTGTGGAATGGAGCAATGGGTTTAGGAGCACGTCTGTGTGAAGCAACGGGATGGACATCCTTGCACAAGTGTTTTTTCTGGGCCTCTTGATTTGCTCCCCTGGTTAACATTTATTTAAAAAAAAAAAAAGTGGATCATTCCTTAAAAAAAGGCAGTGTATTTTAGGGACATCTCCATTTACTCAGAAAATGCTATGCATTGCTTTTGGAAACAAATTGAACTTTTATTTATTTATTATTTTAAAAAAGATTTTATTTATTTTTTGACAGAGAGTGACATAGTGAGAGAGGGAACACAAGCAGGGGGAGTGGGAGAGGGAGAAGCAGGCTTCCCGCGGCGCAGGGAGCCCGATGCGGGGCTCGATCCCAGGACCCTGGGACCATGACCTGAGCCGAAGGTGGACGCATAACGACTGAGCCACCCAGGCGCCTCTCGAATTGAAATTTTAATGTGACTCTTTCCTTAGTGTCATTTTTTTCTCTTGCTCCAGAGCTTGATTTTTACAAGTAGGAGCTTTATAATGTGGAAATTTCGTTCCCATTTTTGTCCTTGCAGAATATCTGATACCACTGATTTCATTAGTTCTGGCTTGAAGCTAAAGTTGGGCAGACTAGGGGCGCCTGGGTGGCTCAGTCGTTAGGCGTCCGCCTTCGGCTCGGGTCATGGTCCCAGGGTCCTGGGATCGAGCCCCGCATCGGGCTCCCTGCTCAGCGGGGAGTCTGCTTCTCCCTCTCCCACTCCCCCTGCTTGTGTTCCCTCTCTTGCTGTGTCTCTCTCTGTAAAATAAAATAATAAATAAATAAATAAATAAATAAATAAATAAATAAATAAATTGAAATAAATAAAATAAAAGAGGTGTGTCCTCTTCTCTTCTGCTGTAGAAACGCAAGGGAAAGGTGGCAGGAGGCTCTGCCTTGGTGAGCAGCTCCCAGGCTGTCGGGGCCCTGCCCGGATGGCTGGTATTTTGAGTGTGTGACCCATTCCCTAGCTGGTGTTTCTAGGTCATAATGTGCTCTCTATAAAGGGCCTGAGTGGGGTCTTTCCAGCTTTTGTGTTTCTGTGGCCCGTGGTGTGTTTATGCGAGTGTGGACCTCCCAAGTGAGTTCCCTTTCCCAGTGTTGTCCTTTTAGGGGCTTTTGCTGTGACTGTGCTTTAGATTTTAATTTAGAATCGTTAGTGGCTTTGGTCCTTTCACTCCTTGGCCCCGTTAACTGATCTTCAGTATCATTATGCCTTCGGTCGTCTTTGGGCTGTCTCTTGCCTTTCTCCGGCCTGCTCCTCGTCTGTGTCTTAGTCTCCAAGTACGACTCTTCCTCCTCACTAGGAGATAGTGCGGTGTCGTGGCTAAGAACCAGGAGCGAAGCCAGCCTGGGTTTGAATCCCATCCCTGCCGTTTATTAGCCGAGCAGTCTCCAGTGCATGATTCCGTTTTGTTTCTTTGTGACAAGTATTAACATTTCTGAGTTTTCCACTGGCCAGCAAACCTCTGATCGTGGCTGCTGCCCTCACTTTGCTCCCAAGATGGGTATGCATGGATCACAGGAGCACTTTGTGCCTCATTGTGAAATGAAACGTTTCTTTAAGCCTTTTTCTGGCCTCCTAGTAAAGTGGTGGGAACCTATTTGAGCTTACGAGGACACCTCCCTTTTTTGGTGACATTGCCCAGGCCCCTGCTTTGCCTCCTCAGGATGAGGATCGCGTGCGTCTTTTGTTTGCCATGAGCTTTACGAAACTGTTTGCAGGCGTGTTGTCTTTCAGCCCGATCACGACACTGGGCTGTGGGACTGCTAGGAGTCCCATTCTCTCGGTGAAGAAACCCCTAGGCTGGCGGAATTAAACACCATGCTCGAGGCCTTCCGGGCAGATGGGGAGCGTTGTTCTGTGCGACTGCAGAGCATGTGCTCTTAATGACCGTGGGGCACTGTCTCTCGTTGAGGAGGCTCAGACCCCTCGAAGTACACTAGCTCCTTGGGAGGCAAGAGTCTAATCGTCCGAAATGACACATCGTAGGGCACGAGAGCCTTTCTCCGCTTCCACAGCCTTCGTGCAAGTGCCGTCCGTGGACGTCTTGGCACCCACATGCTCTCAGTTTGCCTGCCCGCCAGACCCTTCCTCTTCGGGGAGCAGGCGTGGCCTTGCCCTAGAGGACACAGTGTCCATTCAGAACAGGAGTGTGGAGGTGCCGGGTGGCTCTGTCAGTTAAGCGACTGACTCTTGGTTTCGCTCAGGTCACGGGCTCAGGTCACGAGTTGGAGCCCCGGGGTCAGGTTCCCCGGTCAGCGGGGAGTCCCGCTTGGGACTTTCTCTCCCTCTCCCTCTGCTCGTGTGTGCCCTCTCTCTCTCAAATGAATAAATACATCTTAAAAAAACAAAACAGCGCAGAGTGTGTTCCTTTCGGGCAGGTTTTTGTGTGACTCTTGTGGAATGTTGACATTGTATAAGCAGCATGATCAAGAAGTTCTGGGCTGTTAGCAGTCCCAGCCAGGACTTCCACATGCAGATCCTTCTATTTAAGCGCATCAGCTAAGTTCATTGCTTGTGTTCTGGTGATGTTACCACCACACTGCATTCTTGTAAATGCACTTCACACCCACCACCGTATAACCCCTTCCCCGCCCCCAGCATTTGGCACAGTGCCTGCTGCCAGGTGGATAGTTCATTCATGCCACTTGTTAAAGTCGTTTATTCTTTTGAATAGCCATAATGGTGGCAAATTACCAACTTTGAGGAGGAACTTGATTCTGCGAACCTATTAAAATATTTTCCACTAAAGCAAAGAACTTGGGTCTTGTTAAAAAGATCAGGACTGGGGCTCTTGGGTGGCTCAGTTGGTTAGGCGACTGCCTTTGGCTGAGGTCACGATCCCAGAGTTCTGGGATCGAGTCCCACATCGGGCTCCTGGCTCAGTGGGGAGCCTGCTTTCCCCTCTGAGCCTCTCCCCTCTCATGCTGTTTCTCACTCTTTCTCTCCCCCTACTCTCTCTCAAATAAATAAATAAATAAAATCTTAAAAAAAAAAGATCAGGACTAAGCCATAATGAAACAGATTTTTCTCGTGGGCATTGGGTTTTGAAGGCAAAAGAGTGGTCAGCCTATTCTGAGCAGTCAGCATCATCGGAGTGAGTCCCAAAGAAGATGATGTAGGAGGGGGCAAGGAGCACTTTTATTCAGATAGAAAGTTCTGTTTAAAAGTTGCTGTTGCTGGGGCACCTGGGTGGCTCAGTCGGTTAAGTGTCTGCCTTCGGCTCAGGTCATGATCTCAGGGTCCTGGGATCGAGCCCCAAGTTGGGCTCCTTGCTCTTCAGGGAGCCTGCTTCTCCCTCTGCCTCTGCCTCTGTCTCTCCCCCTGCTTGTGCTCTCTCTCTCTCTCTCTCTCAAATGAATAAATGAAATCTATAAAAAAAATAAGAGTTGCTGTTGCCTTTCTTGTGGGTCTTTTTTTTTTTTTTTCTTGAAAGCCTCGCTGACAATTCTGTGCTCTTGTTGATGAGGCTGGGATGTGAATCTAGCCGTGGTGATAGCTGCCTGCTATTCTCAGTGTGGCTGTTCTTCCCCACAGATGCCCGCTGAGTACTTGGCATTGCACACCAGAAGAATTAGCCCTGATGGAAATGATTCATTCCCTCTTTCAAGAATTAATCATCAACAAAGGAAACACAGAGCTGCTGTCCAGAATGGTCACAAGTGCACAGTTAGAGGTTTCTGCGTGCACGTTAGTAAAGGTCATCCGCCAGGACGGGCGTTTTTATTGGACACTCTGCTCAGAACAACTTGGGAAAGTTTGATGTTCTCATCAGAAGTCTGATTTGACCTCTCCCCAATGTTCACATAGGGAAAGAGGCTGAATTCAATGGACTGTAGACCAGAATTGCAATTGTGGCCATGAATTTAATAGACTCCCATACTTGTATTAGTAGACCCAGCAGTTGCCGTTATGTCTTGCAGACAGGTTCTGTGGTGGGCACTGTGTGTGTGTTCTCTCTAGTCTACATAACTTCTCTCCGCACTGTGTGTCATTGTCCTTCTCTTCCAGGCCTGGAAACTGAGTTCTGGAAGGATTCAGTAACGGACAAACACCACTCCGCGGGTACACAGCAGAGGTGTCGTTCAAGCCTGTCTGTCCAGCCCGAGTCAAACCTCCTCCACTGTTCATGGTTTTTTGAAAGTCTTCCACGCCAAGTGACCAGCCTAGAGGGCTCTTGCTAGCGGTGAGCACAGGGCTCCTTCCTCTCGGTGTTGGGTATGATCTCTTAAGTCCCTGACTTGAGTCCTTCCCTGCTAACTCTTATTGATGTTGGTAAGTTCTTCCCTTGTTAGTAGGAGGCTTTCTGGATTTATGTGCATTTGTTCCATTCTCTCCTTTCTCTGTGGCCCCCAGACTCTCACCCCCACCCCACACACATGCACACACGCACCCTACAGGTTTGGAAAACTTGAGGCTTCCGTCTATTCTATAACTGAGGTGACAGTGTCTCTTTTTATAATTAATATGATTCTCCTCTCTCGGGATGACAACACTGAGGCTTCGGGTGAGGAAGTGAGGTAGAGTAGCAGGTGCCTATCTTGTAAGTCTGATCCACTTGGAGCCATATATCCTTCCCATAAAATGAGTAATAGTTGCATTGTATCTGGTGGAAGTGGGGTGTTTTCATTTGGGGTTCTTCTGTGAAATGAAAGAAAGCAGAACTTCTTGTCCCTAGGTTGTGGACCCTAAAATGTTATGAAATTAAAAAACCCAAGTAAAGCATGGTTCAATTCTGAACCAATCCTTGCTCTGGGAACAAGGAAGGCCCTTTGCTGGGCATATAACATTACTCTGTGAATTATGAATCTCCAATATTCAGACTGGACATATGGACAAGTTAGCAAGTCTGATCATTGAGCATGGGTGTCCCTGGTTCTGGGATAATACCCTTGTTGGGTCAAAGCATGCTTGACTCGGCAGATTTTATCTTTCATCTTATTTAATCCTCTGAACCACACAGTATAGTGGGGAGCATCCGATCCTCTTTCAGAAAAGTAGAAATTGAGGCTGGGAAGAGACGAATGGACTTTGCCAAGGTTGCGTGGCTAGTGAGTGGTAGGACTTTGAACCAAGGTTTTGCCTGTGTGGTGTCCTTCTGTTGATGTTGGTGGTTTGGGTTCCCTAATGATTGATCTTTCCTGTTCTGTAAGTTTTAAACAACATGGGAAATAGAGCAAGGATCAAATGGGAACCAACATGGATGGTCAGTTAATTATTGGTAAAGCAGGACTGGAGACCTCACAAGCATGTCTGAAACTAAAATGTGTGTTTGACTCCAGCAGCCTCCTAGATCTCCAGTATCAGTCGGGCTTTTGGAGAGCTGGAGGGAGCCCCAGGCTGCGCCGCTCAGTGCTCGGCGTGGCTGAGCCCTTAGTTAGTGCTTCTTCACACACTGCCAGGCAAATCTGTCACTCACCTTCCAGAAGAGTTTAAGGAGGGGCTGGGGCAGGCAGAGAGAAAACTGGCTTAGTCTGATACTGCTTCCTCTCAGGAAACAGACTAAAATCTCTTCCCAAAAGCATAAGGCAGGGCATTGTGTGTGTGTGGAGGGGGGGCAGGGAAGGGGGGAGGAGGAGGCTCTCCACCCCAAATCCCAGCTGTTGAAATACTGCTCTTGAAATCTTTTTCTCTCTTAGGGTGTTCTCTGCTGTTACTCTGTCCTTCCTTTTTGGTTTTGAAGAGAAAGGAAGGGATGACTATTTTTCTCTCTGTTTTGGTTTGAAGAAAGGAAAAGACGAACGTAGAAATCCAGAAATGGTCTTTCTGAGCCCTGTGACTAATCGGACCCCTTCTCCTCGTGGCAGGTGATGGAAATGTGCTGGAGCAATGGGAGAAGCTGGTAACTTCTAGGAAGCCAAGATGACAAGAATTGTTTTAAATAATCAGTAAGTGAGATTTTGTTAGTCCTTTGGAACTCTTTCAATTACCAGTGAACATTCTCTGAGAAACCATGGTAAATGAGTAGCTCAGTCAAACAGCTTAAAAGTCTGAGGGAGAAAATGTTTAAAAAATAAATATTCCAACACTTCAAAAAATTGATGCTAACATTTGCGCAATTACCTCTGTAGGTGTGTCCTTTTTAGTTGGGTGTAGCAGTTGGGCAGACAGAGCAAAAGTATTTAATGGATTAAAGGAGGACTCCTTTTAACTTTGGAATAGCCCTTCTCAAATACAGACATTCTTGTTCCCACTGGTTCAGTGAGCACCACGGCTTACTGACCTTGGGTGCACACGTTTTGGGAAGTCCATGTGAGTACACTGGGTGAATATGAATAAAATTGAGCTCTCTGTCTGCTCCCTCCCCAGTCCCTCTTTGAGTATCTACCTTGTCTTTTACACTTTGGAGGCTACTACTGGTTGCTGATGATCTGACAGTTAAATGTGGTTGCTTCTCGTTTCATTATGATGGTGACAATGTTAGGGCGTGAGGTTGCCGAATGAAAAGATTGTATATTTCTGAGTCAGACATTCCCCAACCTGACTCTTGCCTTTGTGCTTTTTTTAATTTTCTTTTCTATTTTATTTATTTATTTATTTATTTATTTATTTATTTATTTATTTATTTATTTAATGTAGGCCTTTGTGCTTTTATAGTAGTTATTCCGCCTCTCAACCTCTGTATAGTGGACTCGATCATCCCTCTCATGAGAGGAAAGACTGTGGGTAGTACTCTGTGCTCTGACGGTGCCTTATGGGGCCACAATAGAAGTATGGCTGGCCCTTCAGCAGCCCGGGTTTGAACACCCAGGTCCACTTGTACGTGGATTTTTTTATTTTACGGTACTTTAAATGGATTTTCTCTTCCTTGGGATTTCCACTGTAACATTTTCTCCAGCTTACCTTGTTGTAAAAATACAGTATATAATACGTAGAGGCATACGATATCTGTGTTCATCGACTCTTGATGTCATCAGTAGGCGATCAGTAGTTAAGTTTCTGGAGAGTCCAGAGTTACATGCGGATTTTTGACTGCGTGGGAGGTGGGTGCCCCCAACCCAGTGTGGCTTGTGGGTCACCTGTAGTTGCTTTCCTTCCTTTTATTTATATCATGATGTACAGTTCACAAGCCCATATTTGACTCAGACTGACCAGCTCCACCTCCTTAGCTTCTGTCGGGCCATGGGGGTCACTGTTGTGGGCACTGATGTGCAGACAAAGGTTAAGAGTTGGCCGGCTGCGAAGCGGGGGCAGGAGGGAGGACCAGAGGGAGGATGGAGAGGGATGGGAGGGGAAACGGGAGGGAGGATGGGGGCAGGGAGGGAGGAGGGACGAAAGGGGGTGTGGAAGGAGAACTGGAGGGAGGACAGACGGAGGACTGGGTTATAGTGCTTACTGATTTCTGTGGTGTAAATGCTCCCTGCGCGGCTGATTTCCCCTCCCCAGCAAGGTCAGTGCAAGCTGAGCTGAGAAGCGCTGGGCAGGCGCACCCTTTAATACCAGACACACGCACGCACACGCGTGCACGCGCACACACACACGCGCGCGCGCACACACGCGCGCGCACGCAGTAGGGAGTGCAAGGAACACCAAGAGCCTAAACCGTAGTAAAACAGGTAGTGGTGAGTTCGCATTTTATTACCTTTGTTTTTAGTCTCATTTACTTCAATCGTACGTTTCTGTAACGTCACTTTGAACGATGGCTGTGTGGAACGGGCTTGCCGGAAACCCCGAGAGTCTGAGGGTCGGGCCCAGGGCTGGTAGGACAGCCCTGGCTGTAGGTTCCCTGTGGCGAAGGCATCTGTGAGCATCTCTTCCATTATCTGTCTTGGCCCTGGGGGTGTGAGTTTGGTTGCATTGGTCCAAGCAAGGTCTGCTTTTGAATCTGTGCTCCGTAGCTCATGTTGCCATGCTCACCTGGCTTCTGGAACTGAGGAGAGGCCCTGAGGCCAGTTTCGAGCATCAACCTCTTTTCTTAGGCGTGTTAACCCGGCTCTGTGGCTGCCACGGTCCCCTTGGCCTCACGCCCTTCCGAGTTTCTGCTGTCGCTTCGCTGTGCTCCCTGAACCTGAGTCGTCCGGTAGGGACACTCCGGGGACCACGCACCGTGGCGTGTAGCTTTGCTTTTGTTTGGAAATTAAGTTTTAATGAACGTGACTTGTTTCTAGAGAGAGAGAGAGAAACAAAACAGGACAATACCTGGGCAGTTTCAAGTTCACGCTGGCTTGATGAAAATCCTGGGGAGTGGAATGGAGGGCAGAATGGACGCTGGGTCAGATGGCCCAGTGTTTCCTCCGCGTGCTGGCTTGCCCTTTCCAAGGGAACAATTGGAGCCTGAAATTGCTAAGTGACAGCTAAGATTGTGGGGGTTGTTTTTATTTTAAATCTCATCCACCTCGCTCTCAAAACACATTCTTTATTGAACCTAAAAAAAAAAAATGCCTTGGATATTTCAAAACATTGGTTGATGTTGATTCCCTGAAGCAGACTTACATAATCTTAAGACATTTATTTCCTCCTAAAACAATAGATATTTATAGTTCCTACGGAGTCAAGGACAGACTTGGATTATTGCAAAAGCAGTTCTTGTCCCTTTCACGCTGAAACGGATGGATGGAAGTCTGAGACACTTACCTCTGGATTAAGAAATATTGACCCGTGTCTCAATCAAGATAAATAAGGGTGTCTTTGGTCACAGTGAAAGCAGACTTGGGAGAAATAAGCAACAGAACAACCTCACCACACATAAAATATTCTGATTTATGATTTCTCTCCCCAGGAGGCCCCTGCTGCTGTTTCCGGACATCCCCAGTGTAGACGAGTGTTTGATCAGAAAGCTGTCAGGTGTCTGGTCCTCAGACGTGCAAATGTTAGAGCCATGGATGGTGTGCCATCAGCACACTCAGGAGTGTGAGTCGTGGGTTACGAGGGTAAATTCCAGTGCAAATGAGACAGGCTCATTCCACATCAGGAACTGATCAGGTCCGAACATAGAAAGCCGTGATTTCAAAACAGATGTGGTTGATGTCATAAGAGATATAGTAAGTATTCTGGAAACCACCAGGAGAGAGAAATTACCTGTGTGGCAGGAGTGGTGAGGTCAAAGAGACTTTCAGGAGCAGATGGTGTTTGTAGTGGGTATTTAATAATTAATGCCTTTTAATTAAAATACCTATTTTAAAAGTTATAAAAGTCATCCATGCTAATTGGAAAGAACTTTAAAAATGTAAATTCATCAA